GTTCTGCCATTAACCTTCTATTGAAAGCAGTTTTTTCTTCTTTCTTTCTTTTTATGAATATAAATCTTACCTGTTGAGAGCCAGTACTGTCCAGCTCGAACCCAGCTCTCCAGGCAGATTCTATATTGTAGTTTTACCTACAGGTATATTTACACCTGATAAACAGCCCTCAACTGCTCAGAGAACTGGGGAATATGGCATTCAAATACTTAATTATTAAAAAATTCATAACAAAAAGAAACAGGTTGGCTCCTAACAGCAGCACTCTACTTCCTCCAAAGAAGACAGAAGACAAGTGGGCACAAAACAACGTCCATCCGCAACTTGCTTCAATTGACAAGTGCTGACCACTGGGGAAAACTGCCTTTCATCTAAACTGAAAATCTCCAGATATGGACAGAATCACTGGAATTGACAGCCTACCTGCTCAGGTCAAGGAAGGCTTGTCTTCCTACAGATTTCTTAGCCCACAGAATCTTCTAGGGCCTGGCAGGCCCTGCACTAAACAGCAAAACAACAAATATGACCTTCAGTGACCATGGAGGACCCTGAAGAGTAGCTCTAAGTGCCAATGACGTAAGTTTTCTGTCATTTTTAAATCAGCAAGTAAAATTTTATCCTTCTCAAAGACCAAAGTAGAAGAATCCCAGCAAACTTCCAAAAGTCTGGGCTCTAACCAGATAGCAAGTAATGGTAGTTTCTATTTCTTCAACCTAAAGGTTGCTGATTCTACTATTAACCTGATTCCACTGTATCCATAGTCAGGAGGCAGAGAATGATAAATTTTGGTCTTTATTATAGAATCAAGTACATGATAAGGAATGGCTATAGTAGATCAATAGGTATTCTATTAATAACACTTTAGGAGTAGGGACACAAACCAATGCATAATATGATGCTATCAAGAAAAAAATTAACAGTGTTTCTCATATATCCTCTCTAACGGGGAATGAATTCTGCACTGCCTTAGGTAGGCTTTCAATTGCTGTGAAGAGACACCATGAACATGGCAATTCTTATCAATGAAAAACATTTAATTGGGGTGTCTCACATTTTCAGAGGTTTGGCAACTGTCATCATGGAACAACATGGTAGAGTACAGACAGACATGTTGCTGTAGAAGGAGCAAGGCGCTGTACATCTAGACCCACTGGAAACACAAAGTGGTTTGGGACACTGCACGTGCATTGAGCATACATGAGACTTCAATGTCCACCCACACAGTGACACACTTCTTCCAACAAGTCCATACCTACAGCCACAAAGAAATATCTCCTAATAGAGCCACTCTCTATGAGCCAATTATATGCAGACTACCACAGGTACTAAGTATTAATCTTCACAGGGAAGTATGATATGTCCTCCTGTGTGCGGAAACAACGGACTCATAATATTTAGAAAGACTAAAAGTATAAGTTGTTTACACCATAATTATTAGATTATGAACTTTTTGGTGGGGCCCACCTAAGACCCCATGATAGACTGCATAAAGTATTCAGCTTCCATTAAACCCCATGAGGGAATAATGACAAAGTTATTCCTTATCCTTAAATAGGACGGGAAGGCTAGTGAAGCCCTCCTTTAAAATCAGTTATGTTTTTGAGATGCCTGCTTTAATAACTTTACTTCCAGTAACTTGCACATATAAAACTTTTATTTTTTTCCCATATTTTAGGTACCTAAAATATGCTAAGCTATCATTAATCCCAAAGCATTCTGGCATATTTTAAGTTATTCATGGTCAAATATATATGTGCATCAGAAGCCTAATTGTAATGAGCATAGTAAAAAAAATTGTCGTATAGACATGTAAGAATAGCTTAGTTAATAACACTACACCAATCAAGATATTCAAAGAACATCTACAATTGATGACCTGATTCCACATAGGTAATCTCAACTACTACTGAAGGAGGAAAGCTCTCACCCTCCCTACATCCTACCCCTTCCTGCACTGTCTGCATCAGCTTCAAAGATTGTCACTGAGCTCAATTCTTGCACAGGTTTCTCTTCTTCGAAGTCCCCAATAGAAGCCAAAAAGATCAGCAGACACTCATGAACTGCTCTATTTTTCTTTCTCACTGACTAGTCAAGTCCCATCTTGGAAGGGGTTGCAGGACTGTCTTCCCAGCACTGGGCAGCAGAGGCAGGATTAGGTGTTCAAAATGATTCTCAATTGCATAGCATGAGGCAAGGCTAAACTATAGGAGACACTGCTCTACACAGAAACCAATAATCAACACCACTTGAGAGAAATCAAATTCAACTATTAATGACTTAGAAACATTGGAGAACAGAAACAAATAGAGATAAAAGCAGCAATACACTTAAAGTATTTGAAAATAAAACCAAAAAGTGAATTTTTTAAATGACAGGAATAATGCATTTTTAAGATTAGATAAAACTTTGCCATATTGACTTTGAAAAAGAGTAGAGGGGATGTCATTAATAAGAGATAGACAGATGTTGCCCATAAGCACATGTTGACTGCTGAGATCTGTAACCTGACACATAGAGTTACAGTCAATGGCCTGTTTCTCAAATCTCTGAGCTGACATGACTGTGTCAAGCAAGATCTGCATAGGATAGTTGCCTACTTGCAAATTTAATATTAATTAGTTCAAGATAACCTTCCCAATCTATGCATCCACACAATCTGGTCTTTGTTCAGTCACATGACATTCATTAAAACATGCTGAGAAATTACAAAATCACTATCCCTACTACAGTCGGGCCTTTTTTCATAATGGTGGCTCCAACAGCTGATTCCCTATGCTGTGTCCCCTGCAGTGTACAAATAAACTGTTCCCTCTATTGTGATCTGAAAACAGAAGGAATGCTCCATATGCAAATTCTTTCCCTGAAACTTCATTGGACAGTCAACTACAAGACTCAAATGCATAATTTTAAAAACTGTGAGGTAGTACAGTCTTTTAATTTAAGAATTTTGAAATTGTAATATAGAGGACAGCAAGGTCATTGCCCTGGACAGCAATAGACCAAGGCCACCTAAGTCAACATAAGAGAAGTTGTCTCAGAAACAATTTCTCTAACAGGATGGAAATCAACTGTTCTAGAACTAATATGCCTTTCCAATGACAAATCACTTCGCACACTTAGGAGGTTAATACAGAAAACTCTATTTAATGATGGCATGCATCCATCTCCGGCTAATGCTCAAAGAGGAGCCAGCTAGACAGATTCCACATATGCTGTTGTCCTTAAGTGTCCTTTAGGTTTAGGCTCCAGGTTACACTTGAACAATTGAAATAGAAACAGGCATTTTACTGACTAGACATTTAGGCAGATAGGAGAGTTACAGAGCAAAGATATTGCCAGAATAAATTCTAAAGTATACCAGTGACCTGAAACAGCAGTCCATTCTTCAGTGACAGGGTCCTGGGGAAAACATGGGAAATGACAAAGATAAGACAAGTAGAAAGTAAGAAACATAAAAGCTAGGGTGGGGAGGTCTTGCCGAAGGTATGTCCCAAGAATTGGATTTTCCTGGGTGGTGGTGGCACACACTTTTAATCCCAGGACTCAGGAAGCAGAAGTAGGTGGATCCCTGTGAGGCCAGCCTGGTCTACAGAGTGAGTTCCAAGATAGTTAGGACTATCCCACAGAGAAATCTTGTCTCAAAAACAAACAAACAAAAAAAACAACAACAACAAAAAGAAAGAATAGCATCTCATATCTTATATCCTTCTGGAGGTAGAGGGAAATGGAAGGAAATGGGAGAATTTCATGAAGTCAGTAGAAACTATTAAACAATGGGAAAAATTTAGGAGGAGGCTAGTCAAACAATTCTACACAAGGGGAACACAGGGTATCTCAAGAACTTTATGTAGTGCAGAGTTGGCTTTGGGGACTGAAAATCATAGCTCCATATGTTGGAAAGACTGGGTTTCTCAGGACCTGAAGCAACTTCGCCACAGAGGGCTTAGCCCCAGACCATTACCAGCTCTTCCAAACATATTCCTGGTTTTAGAGAAGGAGCTGTGTTTCATTATCAATACATCGGGCCCTTAGGGAATATTCCCAACAATGTTCTTTTTCCCTGCCTGACATCCTGAATGAAAGCCTTGATTGAGCAGGTCAGTCCTTACCACAACCCTATTTTACTTTTCAAATATTTGTCACCTCATGTCATATTGCCCATCTGGCAGAACTATGCTTTTCTCAAAACAAAAACAACAACAACAACAACAACAACAACAAAAAACCCAGAAATTTTGAAGCACACCAGGCCTTAAGGTTGGTTGGGACCCTGTAATGCCTCCTTGAGCAGCTTGTTTGATGCCTTTTCTTTGGTATGGGAATGGACCTAGAGACTGGTTGTGAATCAGGGGTGGCTTCTTTGTACTGGGTTGGAGGTAACTATCTGGACAATCCTAACGAACAATGTGTGCCCTAGCATCCTAATCTCTAACAGCCCTGATTTACATACCCTTATCTTTTGGGTGTTTTAAACACAGTCTTCCCTCAGCTAAATTCTACTTTGTGAGACTTAACTATTTTCTAAGCATTAGTAAATCCTTTATATCTCTAATTCTACTCTTGTACATTATGACACAGTAGTGGAGTGCTACACAACACGCGAGATGCCTTTGATAACCTCCACAAATTTAAATATAAATGGAGATTATATGTAAAGGTTAAATGCAAAAGTGCTCAATGTCGAGAAGATATTGCAGCATATAGGCCTCTACGAGTTTGGCAACTTGTTTCCATGAATGCATGAAGCATGTAGAAGGTGACAAGAAAGCTGTTTGTACACACAGCTCCCTGCTCACAATTCTCTAAGCAGATTAAGCCCACAGCGCAGTTATTCAGAGCCCTGCTCATAGGTCCACAAATTAGCAAGGACGGCATGGGACTTCACAGCACAGGGAATCTGGCGGCAGGTTCCCACCCACATCCAGGGAGACTGCATCCCAGTGTCTCCCGCACCTCAACCTCCGCTGATTTCCATCTGGAGACTGCATTCCCTCGCTCACCATGTCGTGGTTCCCCAGCTCGCCAAAACTCTTAGCTCCTCCTCTCCCTGCAGTAGCAGCTGCTCCCACAGCACACTAAACCACTGGTGCCAGCTCCTCTTCAAAGCCAAACCTAAAACCGGGCCCCCGGAAGAACCCTGCACCACTTCTGACTGGCAGGTCATCTGGAGGGCCTGATTGGCTAGTGTGGCCCGAGTGACAATAACACCTCCCACAGGGCTATAGCGTGCTTAAAGACACAGCACAGTGGTTTCTGGTCATTCCCTCCACCCCAGTCAAAAATCTTTTCTAGCTCGGCCAAGATAAGCATTTCAATAGCATTTGCCCCTGACTCCCAAACAGATGCAGACATCTTTCACTCCGTAGGAACTTTCCCCTTTTCCTACTGAACACAACTTGGCCAGCTAGCTTTTTCAGTGCACTGTATTAGGTGGGTGGAGAGATTTCTTGCCCCACAGGAGGAAGGGTGCCCAGGAATATTAACAGTTTTAGAGTTTTAAGGTCACAAAAGGAGATGTTTGTTCTCTGGTTTCATGCTGAGGTCAGATGAACTGAAGTTACTTTTCCTCTGGTTGTCACAGCAATTTCAGACAACCATGAAAAGCAGAAACCAGATCTCAAACAAGATAATAGGTATTTTCCCCATCAGAAGGCTGGATGACAGTTCCATGGCTTTATGAGTTTTATTCCTGAAACTCAGAGCAGATTCCAGCAAATGAAAAATAATAAAGAGAGTAGTGTCCTTGAAAATTTGAATACATACAGAATAATGGAGCCAGGAAGAATGTCTTTATGAGCACTGCTGTTAGCCAGAACATCTTCATTCATGAACTGGTGCATAAAAACATGCAGCTGCATTATTCAAGATTCGCTACATTAACAGGACTGGCAGAATGAATCTCACCATTTTAGTAGAAAGTGGGCTTATTAGAAAGTCTCACAAACTGTGGTCCAGGTAGTCTTAAAAATAGCTGCCCACCAATGGAAATTGGAAGTATCTAGTAGATTGCTTCATAGTCTTTGGTCTAAGATCAAGTGAAGAACCCAGTAGTTGTTTAGTCCATGAGGCTCAATGTCTCAGCTGGTTTTCAGCACACACCAAAATTCCAAAGAAGTCGACCCTAATGCTAGTAAAGGAATGAACTTTGTAGCCAGAGGCAGAGCAAGGAGGCAAAAGAGAGACCTTTCTTCTTCACTATCTTTTATATATGTCAGCTACTACCAGAAAGTGAGGTTCAGATTAAAGGTGATCATAGTCTTTGTTTAATTGGTTTTTTTTTTCTGTTTTTGTTTGGTTTGGTTTGGTGTTTTCAAGACAGAGTTTATGTTTGTAGCCCTGAAACTCATTCTGTAGGCCAGACTGGTCTCAAACTCAGAAAATCCCACTGCCTCTGCCTCCTGAGTGCTGGTGTTAAAGGTGTGCACTGCCGCCAAGCATTTGATGTGGACCTTATCACATCAAATGATCTACATGAATAAAGGCTTTTCCCATTTCAAAACCTTTAATTACGTGAAATACCTCTCAGGTATAATCAATACTTTGCGTAGTCGTTAATCCCAGAGGTTGTCAGTTTGACTACCAAGAATAGCCATCTCAACAGCCAAGACAGAAGAAATGGAAAAATTTCTTCCCTTAAGGAGGCAGAGAGAACATAGAAGTTATTTCCAAAGCAGTCTTTTTCCTAAACAAAGGAAGCATGCAGATTTTACTTAGGGAGTCTGGACATGCTCATGTAATGTTCTCCCTTTTCTTAAGCATGCTCAGTTAACAAATTCACTTCTGAACATGATCACAATGTAAATGCAGAGACATTTAGGGACATTCTTACCTCAGTCATGCAGGAACATACATAAATTATAAAAATGGTTGGAAGAAATGCCTCTGTCATGTTCATATTATACCACAAGGTCTTAGTTGAAAATCCAGCAAATGACACTGTGAAAAGTAGATTGTCAATCTTGATGTTGAACAAAAAGAAATGTATCAAGACCATGTAAAGTACTTTCAGAGGTTGGAAGAAATACAGAATGGGTAGCAGAAGGTGGCAATTCTAAACGCCATCTAAGGCCACGTGACCATTGCAGAAATGAGAATTTTAACTGATATGAGGGCTTCTGTTGTATTTTGTTGGTTGCCCCACGCTTCCTCTCGCCAGCAAGAACCACGCGGGACACAGGATCCTTCTGCAGAAATAGCTTTAATGCTTCTTGGGAGAGCGAGCATCAGCCAACATGGCGGAGACCCCGGACAAGGTGAACCCAGCCCTATATAAAGGAAACAGTCCTTGCTTCGGATGTGTCACTCTTGGATAGGTCAACTGTCCATAATCCCAGGAGACGCCTCGGGAGTAGGCGGGGACAGCAGTGGGAAATTACCGAGCACATGTGCGTTCACCTGGCAGTGAAGCCGGATGTCAGCGCCACCTTGTGATGGAGAATGTGGCTGCGGCCCTCTACAGTTGGTAATGCATTTGTAAAGTTATTTCTATGTCCTTTGAATTTCCTTATCATATGCTGCAGCATCAATTAAGAGAATATCTGTGGTTATCAGAAGTAAGTTCGAGATACTAGAAAGATGTCCTCCAAGGAACATTGCCACTATTATAGATATACAGTGCATTTGCAATTGTAGTTGGTATACTTAGGTTATATTTAGGCATAAGTACAAATTGGTTATTGCTTTCCATTTGGAAATTAATAAGTTGATATGATTGTATGCCAAGTCAACAAGCAATCGATTATAATAGCTATTCTTGGCTGTCAACTTTACTATGTCTGGAATGAACTACAATTCAGAAATGGAGGGCACAGCTGTGATCTGGACCTTAAGGCAAGAAGACAGCATGCTTTTAGTCCAGACACTGAGGATGGATGGCGTGCACTTTTAATCTAGACCTTGAAGCTTTCCAGCACATCTTTAATCTGCGCCACACTTTCTGCTGGAAGAACAATGGAAGAAGAAAAGTGGGGTGTTATTTCTCTATCTGCACACGTGTTCCTTCATTGTCATTGAAGTCTACTTCTCTGGGACTCCAGCATATACACAAAACAGTTGAGACACCCAATCATGTGGGACTGAGTAACTACTGGATTCTTAGGCTTTTCATTTACTGCCAGCCATTGTTGGACTGCAATCTGTAAGTTATTTCAATAAATCCCCATATATATACACACAGAGATGAGAGAGAGAGAGAGAGAGAGAGAGAGAGAGAGAGAGAGAGATCTAGTGCAGAAGTTCTATGACTCTAGAGAACCCTGACTGATACACTGAAATTTTCTGTCAGTTAAATTTCTATGCAGTTAGTTCTTAATTTTTCTATTTATACCTAACTACACATCTGAAACACTTTTAGCAAATACTTCGGCACCACATTATATACATTTGCAGAAAATAACCTTTTGTATTATAATAAGATAAAGAATATGGGAAATAGTGAAGTATAGGGTTGCGTGCTATTTCTGATGAAAAATGTATATAAAACAGTATGAGCCATTAGATCCATGGCAAGGTTTGGTTATTTGTTTTAATCAAGTTGATAGGTACTTGTTAGTGGAAAGCTATTTATTAATTTAATCTTGTAGTAATTTGTTCTTTAAGTCTATTAAAATTCAAAAATTTAGTAAAAATGTATTAAATTGATGCTTAAAAGGGAAATACCACCATCAAAGCTCCAACCACCAAGGAATGAGAAAGTAAACTCTGTCCCCAGTTCTAAAGCCACATTTGGAATTGTACTTGAATGACAGGGCTGTAGAGATGACACTGTATTTAAGTGTACTGACTGTTCTTCTAGAGGATCTTGACTCAGTTCTCAAGTTAAGACTATGGGTAGCCTGCCACACCAACACATCATTTACTTGCTATGTTAGTTTGTTTGTTGTTGTTGTTGTTGTTGACTTGACACACACTAGAATCATCTCGGAAGATGGAAACTCAACTGAAGAATATGTCTCCATGAGATTTGCTTGTTGGTTAGTATGTGGGACATTTTCTTAATTAATGATTACTGTGGGAGGCACCCAGGCCACTAGGGGAGGTGCCACCACTGGGCGGAACGCCAGTTCAGCAAGCCAATCAGCAATCTGTCTCTATGGCCTCTGCTTCAGTACCAGCTTCCAGGTCCCTGCCCCGATTTCTCTTCATGATAGACAGTAAGCTGAATGGAGTCAGCCCATTCCTCACCAAGTTGCTTTTTTATCACAGTGTTTATCACGGCAACAGGAAGCAAACCAGAACACTCGGCAGCTGGAGGAGCGAATTCAGGTTCTCAGACTTACTCAGCAAGAACTTCCCCTACTGAACCATCTCCGTGGCCCCAAGTCCTCTGTTTTATACCTATGAAAATTTGCACTTACCGATTTTTTTCCACATCCACAAAGCTTATCCATCTCTAATTAGTTTTTAAAGGCTCGTAATAATCAACAGATGTCCAGTAACTATATCATTGGTCTATGAAGCCATTAGAGAAGCATGCTGATACAATTAGCTTTCAATCATTGTTGGTTACTATATTGTTGTTGCCTTTGATCCAGACAAAATTCCTTAGCCATGTCCATGAGACCCAATGTGACTGAGCATACCTCTCAATCAGACATCCTCTGGCAGTGTCCCCTAGCTCTGTGGACTTCGATCAGGCTCACCTTTCTCAGGGCTTTGGTGATGTTCATGTTTCTTTCCATCCATGACTTGGCTTGGGGCTTCATAGTCTTTCTTTCCATTTACCTGATACAATCTCAAGTATCATCATTCTCCAAATCTCAGGGTAATTGCTAATTCTTCAGAGAAATTGGCTCTGGCCTCCTTGTCTGGGCCAAGTGCTTTATGTTCTCATAGCATGGCACACTGCTTCTCTTGATAGTTGTGATACTGTATCTGTAGGTGCAGTTATTTGATTAATGATACTCTCCTCTACTAGTCTGGAAACTCAGCCCAGATCTCTGGCATCTAACACTGTAGCACTAATTAGCTTCTCAGTAAAAATTTGTGGAGTGAATGCAAATTTTGGTAGCAATTAAAAACATTAAGTCCAAGTAAAAATAAATGAAAACCAATTAAACAAGAACAAACAAGACTGTTTAGTCAGAGCTTGCAAGGGTGCCAGCCACCACCAC